GCGCAACAACCCAGAAGACAGAAATCTTCGTATTCACCGCAGTTAAAACCTCAAATCTTACATATTATTGTATTATCCGTATAACTTGCTATTTTCCTGCTTCTCAGGCAGATGCTGTGAATTTGGAAATAAATTGATACGCATAATTAATCAACGTAGACATGTTACTTGTACACTGGTCATTGATGATTTAGTCGTTTAAGCAAGACGGTTCTTCCTATGAAGAATTAAAACAGATTAAAGTGATGTATGTTATAATATTTTATAGATTTTCAAACGTTGCATATCGTATAGTGTAATTGAATATAAAGCATGTATAGAAATGAAACTGTTTAGACTTTGAAGGACGCCAATGCCAAACGCGTTTCGACTTCAAGAGGTCATCATCAGTGGCAAAAAACATGTTAATTCATATAATACAAATCAGATGATTATGGTTTTTAACAGGGCATAAAAGTATGTATTTTACAAAACCATATTTATGTAACACTTCACTGAACGTTTATTGCATAAGAGTTGGAGTATTATATTGGACACCAACTCCTGTTCAATCAACTTTATATTTTAATGCACTGCTCGGTATGCAAGTTTTTAAGTCTGGTAGATGTTGACAGACGTTTCGAAGGAATTTAATGCCTTTATGATCAGGTTCATTCATTATTAAACATCTTAAGGAAGACGAATGTTACAATATTAGGAACCCCTTTTGTTAACGTTTGATATTTAAAAAAATTGATTTAACGCAGGGTAAAACTCACGTCATTGTAGTGGAGTCCGTCGGGACATTGGAATTTGTAGGGTGTCCCAGTGACACACACGATGAAGCCTGAACAGCTGTCTGCAGCCCTGTACGCCCCGTACGGCCCAGGGCACAGTCCTTTTTCGCTCACTGGAGGAGGTTCTGTAACACGAGCACTCGATTTTAAATTCGTTTTGTTATTTTTTTATATTTATATGAATTATTATCTCTTTGAACAGTGTTACAAGGATGGTAAAGTCAATGAGAAATGCGAAACTCACATATAAAGTTCTGGTGGAAATTTATATTTTGGAATACGAGGGTGGAAAAATGGTGAAAATTAAACTAAAGTGGAATAATGTAGGGTGTAGTGGCGGTTCTTGTGAATACGGCAAAGAAGTTTCGGGAACTGGAATCGAATGTATTTCGTGAACTCCTGAGCGACTGTCATCTTATAAAGGACACTTTCTTCATTGAGTTAGTTAATCAGTTGTTTCGAATTACAGGAGAAGTTTAAAATTACAGAAAACTCGCATATTTATGTTGATATTTTGGGTCTTTTGTTAATTTGGAGAAGCGTGTTTCTAGTATCATTTTAAAATAAAGATTTATTAATTTGAAATGCAGCGAATACGTTTAGTTTGATGTTTATGTAGTATCACGCAAAAAAGGATTATACTCACGGTCTGTCAAGCGGTTTCCGCAGTCCACGTTGTAAGGGTAATCGCAGAAGCCAGCTGGACTGAACACAAGTCCACCCGGACAATCACTTTCTATTGCGACGTCGTCCCAGCAGTTGACAAATTTGCTGCATGACTTGTCGATGGGAAACTGGCCACGTGGAGACAGGCAGAATTTTCTCAACTCTACTAAAGCCGCCCCAGCGTTAGAGCCCGTCTCCTGTCCTGGATTAAGTTCATTTGATGGTATCGGCCCCGGTCCCGGTGCTGGGAATGGAGCAGGCGTGGACTCAAATTGCCCACCAGAAGGCTGCTGAGGATATCCTCCAGAAGGCTGTTGGGGGTATCCTCCGGAAGGTTTTTGGGGGTATCCTCCGGATGGTTGTTGGGGATATCCTCCGGATGGTTGTTGGGGATATCCTCCGGATGGTTGTTGGGGATATCCTCCGGATGGTTGTTGGGGATATCCTCCGGATGGTTGTTGGGGATATCCTCCGGATGGTTGTTGGGGATATCCTCCGGATGGTTGTTGGGGGTATCCTCCGGATGGTTGTTGGGGATATTGTCCTGTAGGTTTTTGAGGGTACCCTCCCGACGGTTGCTGTGTGTTTGCACCAACTGGTTTGGGTGGATTGTAGCCTCCTGTAGGTACTTCTGAAGAGGGCTTTTGCGGGTAACCGCCAGAAGGTTGTTGAGGATAACCACCTGTTGGTTGTTGCGGATAACTGCCAGCAGGTTGTTGTGGGTAACCGCCAGAAGGTTGTTGAGGATATCCACCTGTTGGTTGTTGTGGATATCCACCTGTTGGTTGTTGCGGATAACTACCAGCAGGTTGTTGAGGGTATCCACCTGTTGGTTGTTGAGTGTTACCGCCTGGCTGTTGAGGATACGTTCCTGATTGCTGGGGAGACCCACCTGGTTGCTGAGGATATCCACCTGGTTGTTGTGGATATCCACCTCCTTGCGGGGGATAGCCTGTAGGCTGTTGGGGGTATCCGCCTCCGGTGGGCACTTGGATCCACACGCTGCCCGGAGGAGGCGAATTTCCTGGTCCACCCTGGGCTACATTTGGTGGCACTTGTACAGCGATCTGCCACTGTTGGATTTGACGCTGTTGGTAGTCGTCATCTTCCGGCGTGTTGCTCGGAATCTCTGTAAGTAGAAGAGTTGTCACAATTACAAAAAAAATACATCTTATCGCACAAAAACAAGAAAGCAGATACCTTCCGAACTGTGGACCTTAGAACTAAAATTATCAGATCTGCAGTGATGTAACACTCGATCAGTTAATTAAGCTTCGTTGTGAGAGTGAGGACAATACACAGAGAGAATGAATTTGTTACTTGTAAGGAAGAGAAGCATTAGAAAAAGTAAGGAAGGAGGCAGATATACAGAAAGAAAGGTATACCGAGAGATGAAGGAACCCCACTGTCCACCTTTTTTCTCATTCAATGTTTTCAATTGCGTCGTAGGTCATTCTTGCTCGAATTTTCTCCACGACGTATGTGCATTTCAGATTGTATAATACACCAGTATTAATTTTTCGATTGTACCGGATATACTGAAATAAATATTCCTCTTAATATGTAAAAGTTGTATATTGGATTTTGTCCGTCGTCGGTATCTCAACAAATTGACTTTTCGGAAGCTGGATCTTCTTCTGTCTTTGGTAAATGGGGAAGGACAGAAACCCTACAAACCAAGGCCTTTTTCCTGAAGACGGAAGAAGATCCGGCTTCCGAAACGTCGTCATTTTGTTGAGATATAAACTATAGACAAAGTCCAAAGCACCACTTTTACAGATTATGAAGCACCATTTTCAAAAACCTCCAGACTTCATCAAGAATGCCTCCGTCATTTTCGATGTCTGTTCTATATTCATGATAATATTGCGGTCTCATTCGATATTCAAATTCTAGACTATATATATATAGTTGTATAGTTGAAACGGCTCCGTTGAATACCGAAAGAGTCAGGTAATGAATTTGTTAATAAAAATCATTATTCATTGTCATGCAATGAACGAAGAGCCACAGATGAGATTTTGATTACGAAAGGAAACGTCTATAAAATTAATGATAATGCATGGCTAATGTCGCAGAGCAATTTCTGGAATGCATTGCCCCTCCCTAGGAGTTAGCAGAACGATATAGTCTCTTAAACTTGCATTGTACCTCCGTGCACGTGACTACGTTAATGATTTATGACTTGAGTTGTCTTGTAACATCAGCAGTTTCATCGGAGGCTACGCGTATCGAAGACGTATAAGTCAATCGAACTTTTTGGATGGTTTGGTTCTTTGTTTTTCAGTAATAAAGTAAAAAAATAAGCTGTTCCACTACACGCCATGTAGGGCTTGGGGGAGGGGTGGTATAAATCCTACTCATTCTTGACCTCGGCAGTAGATGTGGATGAGTGGTCAGCATCACGCCCCGTGCGCGCTTAATCCCAGGGAAAGGACCCCAGATAGGAGGCTGGGTGGGCCCCAGAACTGGTCTGGAAACAGAGGCCAGAGTAAAAATCATCTGCGCCGTCGGGGATCAAACCCCGGTCGTGCAGTCCGTAGCCAGTAAGTGATGAGTAATGTAGGCTCATGGCATACAGAAATAACCTCTGAGGCCTTCGGATTTTACTTCAGTGAATATATCGATTGTGGCCTTCTTAGGTCTGACACAATACAGTTGGTAATCGCCTACAGGACTACGCGGGGTCACAGTCCAGAAGACAG